AAGTAGGTAAGTAGGTAGGTAGGTAGGTAGGTAGGTAGGTAGGTAGGTAGGTAGGTAGGTAGGTAGGTAGGTAGGTAGGTAGGTAGGTAGGTAGGTAGGTAGGTAGGTAGGTAGGTAGGTAGGTAGGTAGGTAGGTAGGTAGGTAGGTAGGTAGGTAGGTAGGTAGGTAGGTAGGTAGGTAGGTAGGTAGGTAGGTAGGTAGGTAGGTAGGTAGGTAGGGTAGGTAGGTAGGTAGGTAGGTAGGTAGGTAGGTAGGTAGGTAGGTAGGTAGGTAGGTAGGTAGGTAGGTAGGTAGGTAGGTAGGTAGGTAGGTAGGTAGGTAGGTAGGTAGGTAGGTAGGTAGGTAGGTAGGTAGGTAGGTAGGTAGGTAGGTAGGTAGGTAGGTAGGTAGGTAGGTAGGTAGGTAGGTAGGTAGGTAGGTAGGTAGGTAGGTAGGTAGGTAGGTAGGTAGGTAGGTAGGTAGGTAGGTAGGTAGGTAGGTAGGTAGGTAGGTAGGTAGGTAGGTAGGTAGGTAGGTAGGTAGGTAGGTAGGTAGGTAGGTAGGTAGGTAGGTAGGTAGGTAGGTAGGTAGGTAGGTAGGTAGGTAGGTAGGTAGGTAGGTAGGTAGGTAGGTAGGTAGGTTAGGTAGGTAGGTAGGTAGGTAGGTAGGTAGTAGGTAGGTAGGTAGGTAGGTAGGTAGGTAGGTAGGTAGGTAGGTAGGTAGGTAGGTAGGTAGGTAGGTAGGTAGGTAGGTAGGTAGGTAGGTAGGTAGGTAGGTAGGTAGGTAGGTAGGTAGGTAGGTAGGTAGGTAGGTAGGTAGGTAGGTAGGTAGGTAGGTAGGTAGGTAGTAGGTAGGTAGGTAGGTAGGTAGGTAGGTAGGTTAGGTAGGTAGGGTAGGTAGGTAGGTAGGTAGGTAGGTAGGTAGGTAGGTAGGTAGGTAGGTAGGTAGGTAGGTAGGTAGGTAGGTGGTAGGTAGGTAGGTAGGTAGGTAGGTAGGTAGGTAGGTAGGTAGGTAGGTAGGTAGGTAGGTAGGTAGGTAGGTAGGTAGGTAGGTAGGTAGGTAGGTAGGTAGGTAGGTAGGTAGGTAGGTAGGTAGGTAGGTAGGTAGGTAGGTAGGTAGGTAGGTAGGTAGGTAGGTAGGTAGGTAGGTAGGTAGGTAGGTAGGTAGGTAGGTAGGTAGGTAGGTAGGTAGGTAGGTAGGTAGGTAGGTAGGTAGGTAGGTAGGTAGGTAGGTAGGTAGGTAGGTAGGTAGGTAGGTAGGTAGGTAGGTAGGTAGGTAGGTAGGTAGGTAGGTAGGTAGGTAGGTAGGTAGGTAGGTAGGTAGGTAGGTAGGTAGGTAGGTAGGTAGGTAGGTAGGTAGGTAGGTAGGTAGGTAGGTAGGTAGGTAGGTAGGTAGGTAGGTAGGTAGGTAGGTAGGTAGGTAGGTAGGTAGGTAGGTAGGTAGGTAGGTAGGTAGGTAGGTAGGTAGGTAGGTAGGTAGGTAGGTAGGTAGGTAGGTAGGTAGGTAGGTAGGTAGGTAGGTAGGTAGGTAGGTAGTAGGTAGGTAGGTAGGTAGGTAGGTAGGTAGGTAGGTAGGTAGGTAGGTAGGTAGGTAGTAGGTTAGGTAGGTAGGTAGGTAGGTAGGTAGGTAGGTAGGTAGGTAGGTAGGTAGGTAGGTAGGTAGGTAGGTAGGTAGGTAGGTAGGTAGGTAGGTAGGTAGGTAGGTAGGTAGGTAGGTAGGTAGGTAGGTAGGTAGGTAGGTAGGTAGGTAGGTAGGTAGGTAGGTAGGTAGGTAGGTAGGTAGGTAGGTAGGTAGGCAGGTTAGGTAGGAAGGCAGGCAGGCAGGAAGGCAGGCAGGCAGGCAGGCAGGCAGGCAGGCAGGCAGGCAGGCAGGCAGGCAGGCAGGCAGGCAGGCAGGCAGGCAGGCAGGCAGGCAGGCAGGCAGGCAGGCAGGCAGGCAGGCAGGCAGGCAGGCAGGCAGGCAGGCAGGCAGGCAGGCAGGCAGGCAGGCAGGCAGGCAGGCAGGCAGGCAGGCAGGCAGGCAGGCAGGCAGGCAGGCAGGCAGGCAGGCAGGCAGGCAGGCAGGCAGGCAGGCAGGCAGGCAGGCAGGCAGGCAGGCAGGCAGGCAGGCAGGCAGGCAGGCAGGCAGGCAGGCAGGCAGGCAGGCAGGCAGGCAGGCAGGCAGGCAGGCAGGCAGGCAGGCAGGCAGGCAGGCAGGCAGGCAGGCAGGCAGGCAGGCAGGCAGGCAGGCAGGCAGGCAGGCAGGCAGGCAGGCAGGCAGGCAGGCAGGCAGGCAGGCAGGCAGGCAGGCAGGCAGGCAGGCAGGCAGGCAGGCAGGCAGGCAGGCAGGCAGGCAGGCAGGCAGGCAGGCAGGCAGGCAGGCAGGCAGGCAGGCAGGCAGGCAGGCAGGCAGGCAGGGCAGGCAGGCAGGCAGGCAGGCAGGCAGGCAGGCAGGCAGGCAGGCAGGCAGGCAGGCAGGCAGGCAGGCAGGCAGGCAGGCAGGCAGGCAGGCAGGCAGGCAGGCAGGCAGGCAGGCAGGCAGGCAGGCAGGCAGGCAGGCAGGCAGGCAGGCAGGCAGGCAGGCAGGCAGGCAGGCAGGCAGGCAGGCAGGCAGGCAGGCAGGCAGGCAGGCAGGCAGGCAGGCAGGCAGGCAGGCAGGCAGGCAGGCAGGCAGGCAGGCAGGCAGGCAGGCAGGCAGGCAGGCAGGCAGGCAGGCAGGCAGCAGGCAGGCAGGCAGGCAGGCAGGCAGGCAGGCAGGCAGGCAGGCAGGCAGGCAGGCAGGCAGGCAGGCAGGCAGGCAGGCAGGCAGGCAGGCAGGCAGGCAGGCAGGCAGGCAGGCAGGCAGGCAGGCAGCAAGCAAGCAAGCAAGCAAGCAAATAAATAAATAAATAAATAAATAAATCGAAAGTACTAAATTAAAATGGATCAAACGTCATATGAAATCAGCGTATGAAAGCCTAATCTGATCATGTTCTGCAAATGATAATAACACACTGAATTATGATTATGAAAGGGAAATATTGTATTAGAGAAATCTATGTCTTTATTAATTTAATAAAAAAATTATTAAAAAAACAAAATGATTTGACTATACAATTTACGATCAAGTTCTAACTTAAAGCTATCTTGTGCTACTGGATATTGTCGAGTCAGAATGTGTTCCGATAAAATTGCTGTTCTCACTGTTATTGATATTTTCACTCGTATTTCTGATTGCATAACATAAACTTGCTACACTCATTGTCCTGATGTCAATAATATTGTTGTAAACATTTCCTTTTGCCCGAAAAGATCCCGGTCTAAAATCTCGAATACAAAACATATGCAAAGACCTACTTGAATATCATAACAGAAATCAACCATTAACATGTTTTTCTAAATACAATTTATTTTCTAACCGTTCGTTTACTTATTGACTTTAATAATTTCTAAAAGAAATATTTTTAGATATGCTCGACTTTAAGACGATGACTCAACTGATTTCTTTAACTTTGTATCCCATCATTTAATTTATATACTAGTATTGAAACAAACTGTTTATCAAAGACCGAAATTGTTTCTATCCTATTTTTTTACCGTCTTTATCTTTTAAATCGAAAAATTAAGTTTTATATTTACGATATGTTTATTATTTAGTTCAGTTTCAAGACATTTGGCTAGTGTGCTTCATCGGACTGGTTTTGAAAAGCTACGTACTGTACGTAGTACTTAGTAATATCAATTCATTGTCAATGTATTACCTGACGTTAGCCTCTCTTTCTTGAAGGAACAGGAAGCATGCATTGTCCAAAAATTGTGCCTGTGTATTCAATTATTATTTCTTTCACTGTGGCAACTGTTCACTGTCTGTTTTCTTTTCACATCACTAAAAACATCCGAGTAATCTATTCAGTCTCTTAGACTATGTAGGTAAATGATGAACGTGTACTTCTTCGGTCTTTCAAATAAAAGCCAGCTAGGATACCAATGCAGCCTTAAACGATCTGCAAACTTTATGTGTAAACGATAATGCACACTGCTAAAACTGGTAAAATTACTTATTAGCACCATCAAATCAATTTGAGAACAGTAGACCGTACATGGACGCGGATGTTCTCTAGTGACAGATGCTAATAGCAAGCCTCTATGGACTATATATAAGTTATTGTTCCTGGAAAGAAGGAGTTAGCATATATTTGATTTAAGATGCATTCAACAGTTCCTTATTTGGTACGAGTACTAAAATACACTGGAAAGATAAAGCATTGCGAGCTTTGCTTCCTGTCTGTGCTGCACGGGGGGTAACATATTATGGTTTAATTAATATTAATGCGAATTAACATAGTCTAGCCAGCTATATCAAACTTTCCAGGTGCAGAATTTCATGTTTCTTTCTTTCAAATCCAGGGTCTGGTTACATTTTGATACCATGTTCTGAGTGTTTCGTCCCAGGATAGATTGTGTGTGATGGTTACACCTAAGTATATTTGCTGTTGTTTACCGACTATAGTCGGGTCTTTCGTGGAATTGGAACTTTAAACAAGTGATTTTCTTTTTATTTGTGATGTGTTTCTCATAACACTTGGAGGCGTCGAAGTCGATACGCTTTGTTTTCTTCCACTTTTCTAGGAGATTCACTATTCAAGTCTCTCTGTACTACATGCTTCACATTCCTAACGGACTTGTATACAGTATAGTATGAGCTATACGATGAACAACCTAGCATGCTATCTATGCCTGAAACCATTCCTGGGGAACATTAGCCAGTTCAATTCTAGCTTTCAAAGACAACTTGTTGCTTTCTATTATGAAGAAAGTGTTTATTAATAAGTTATAAGTTTTTAATTTTGCCGTTTTGGGCATTCTGTAGCTCTACAGTACTGTACTGTTCCGGTTTTCTCTGTACATACATAAATTAGTAGGTCTAATAATTAATAAGAAATACATAATATATAAGACTTATAATAATCAAGTTATATAATGAATAAGTAAAAATATAATACAAATGTTTATGTAGAATTCTCAAGTGTTTTCATTTTCTTTTTGGTGAAAAAGAATCTTGGAGGTAGTTTTGTTATAGAGTCAATATGGCCGACTTATAAGATAATATTTTGTTGTTTTACTCTGCTAGATCATTAGGAAGCCTGGCTTTGCCATATTAATGCAGCCATGCCACCGACTGTACAATCAGCATCCAAGGAAAGGGAACGAAAACGAGGTGGAGAAAAGAGGTAACTAAAATTACAGAAATGTCATATTATTTCGCGATGTGGATAAAAAAATTGTTTCGACTTGGGAAAACGAAAGTTGTATTACTCCTAAGGGATTCTCTTCAGCAATGTCTAAAATTTAACATTAATTTCCAATATCACTCCATTCTAAAACCCAGACGGAACTTAGATTATTTCAACATAGTATGGCCCTAAGAATTTTCACAGTGCTAATTTGATAGGATGGTTCCCTACTAAACACTGCTAAGGAGCAACAAAGGACTGCTAAGGAGGCACAAATGACCTTAAAATACCTCCTAGGGCATTCTTATAATATATGGTAGTAGGACCCATGGTAGGGTACTATTGTTCTTATTATTTCCAGCAAATTGTACAAATAAACTGATAAAAAGAACTTGTATTTAGTATTAACTATTTTAATATGAAATTAGGCAAGGCCTATGAACGGGGAAGTCGTTAAAAATTCCTTTCATTCTTTCCGTTTTAAAGGTGTTATTCGGTATAACATGCACCGCTTCCGTTTTCACTCGGAACACTCAACGATTATCATTTATCCGAAAAGTTGAGATTTGTTCCGTTATCAGAATACCCCGTCTATTATCATTGAGTGACATTGTAAATGGCGGCGCCCGACTAGAACTGACACTGAAAATTTCATTGATATTAGGTATAGAATTCTATATATTTTATAATTGTTTTTTATTTGATTTTCTTTTAAATATTCACGTGTAGTCTATAGCCGGGCAAGCCATCGCGGGCCCGGTCTTTGACTTCCCCGTATTAAATAATTTTGGGTTTGACTGTCACAACTTGACTTTAAAATATACATGTCATACATGGAATAACTCAATGTTTTAAAGTAAAAACGTCTATGGTCATTCAGCCATGTTTTGAATGGGAGCTTAAACGGAGAGCACTATGGTACCGTGGTATGTTAATTGATGCCCCTTTTTGGCTTCAGTATAATTTTTTTTCAACAGAATATGACGTCACTACAGTTTCAGCAGACGACCTTTACTTGTCAGAACATGAAATTATCAGTTTAACTGGTAAAAATGGGGTACAATCAGTCATTGAATTTACTGGCCCGAATTCCAGTTTTGAATTTATTCAACTATATATTTAACTAAATTTTCTTAAAATTTACACTGGGCTGAACTAATTTACACTGGCCATTGGCCATCAGGCCAGTGCTAAATTCGTTGACTGGGTACAATAAAGAAGTATTTTCAACACACATGGGCAGCTTTGGATTTTCCTATCATTGACAGAAATTTAATTGAAATGAAAATATTTCTAACAATTTCTATCCAAATTCAAAAAAGCAGCATTACACTTTCACTTTAATGGTGGAAACAGTATTTGGTGGCGTTCAGTGTGTAAAGAGCAACATTTTCTGATTACAACGGAATGGGCAAGGATGTGGTACCCGCAGGGAGAACAGCAAATAAGTAATGGTATTGACTCTAAGACAGGGACTAATTTAGGACATGACATGTGATGATATATTATGTGGTTGTGAATGATAAATTAGTTCCCTGTCAGCTTTTTTAAGCAGTCACCCCATGATCTCATGACAAGTTTATTTATGAAATATTTATACTATTCAAAATATAGGTGGGTGACAATTAAACAAATAGACTAAAATTATGAAAATCTGGGGGTCAGACTCAGCTTTAACTTTATTGTTGATAGAAATTTTAGAATAGGATTTTCATTTTGATGGATCTTACGTTTCTTTATCTTACATTTCTGACATGTTTCTCTAAAAGAAGTACTGACTGTATATATTGTTAGATTTTGATAAAGTGTTTTTATTAACCTATTTTTGTAGGTCTGAGCTTGTTTGTTCAGTAAAATACAACAACACACTTCCAGATATACCCTTTGATCCAAAGTTTATCACATATCCATTTGACTCAACCAGGTAAGTTAAAAGTTATCAAATTATTCTTCCATTTTATTATTTCCATAGTAAAATTTCGTAAACTAACAGTGAACAAATTTTTTATCTAAACCAGAAATGGTAATTCAGCAAGGTATAAGTTAGAATATCTAATCAAATATGTAATTTCCGATTACTTTGTTAGTTGTTTAAACACATTTGACTGATATAATGTAATGAATAAATAGGAAGGTCACCATTTTACCTAATTAAAAGTTTACTATAATAGATGCTTTTCACACAACAATAATTTAACATGCGTGCAAGTTTTCAGGCATATGCCTGAAGCTCAGATTTTTGTTACAAATTTCATCATGTTTTACTGTTAGATTATGTAGGAAAATGACTATGAATTACAGTTTTCAGGTTTTTCCAAATTTTCAACTTGCACCCATTTAATTACCTCCCATAGTTTTCATTTTAATGGTCAATCTCAATATACAATAAAATAATACAATATTGTAAGCCTTAGGTAAGACATAAATCTCTCATAATTTTATCATCTATATGAAAACTGATTCTTTTTACATACTGGTGCTAAAATAATATTTTCCTTGATATGTACAATATAATTTTATAATTCATCTAAATCATCTGTTTTATAATGATTTTTTAATACTTTGTCAGTTGTATTATTATAGAATATTGAGCCCTTAAATGTCTGCCACTTTTGGCAAGGGAGGTAAATATTGTAAAAATCAGAAACTATCTATACATGTAGTTCAACACATCATGCGTTATGCAAGTAGTGTTAATATTTATAAATAAATATGATAGTTATTAATGCATTCTCAATTCAGGTTTATTCAGTACAATCCCACATCTCTGGAGAAATCGTTCAAGTATGATTTGTTAACAGAACATGACCTGGGTGTCACTATAGATCTAATCAACCCTGAAACATACAAGATCAACCCAAATGGTAAGTTTATTTATAGCTCTAATAATTCAGGGGTGGCCAAATCAACCTGTATTGCCCAGGTTGTTCCATAGCTTTTAAAAACCAATGAAAATTTTCCAGAATTTATGTTATAAATATCATATGAACAAGTAAAAATATGTTTTTGATAAAACAGACAAGTAAGTAAAAATCAGATTTTGCCGGCCCTGGTCTATCTGACATTAAAAGACCATTGTATTATGTCTACAAATCAGAACTGACATAAAGCAATACAGAAGGTTACTTACAAATGTATTTTTTCAAAGTGCTTACTAATACTTGTGTTTATTTTACCTGAAGAATTTTCTTTCATAAAAAGTGCCACATAACAATTATAAGTGAGACTTGAACCAAAAAGTGTTTTAAAATCATTATAAAAGTTAGGTTAAAGTTGTATATGAAGGTTAAAATAATTGTATAAGAATAGAAATAGTTTATTATTTTAGACATTGTAGACATGAATAAGAATTGAAATAGTTAATTATTTTAGACATTGTACATGTACATATTTATATATGTGTTATTATATATGTACATGTATATTGCTTACGTGTACTGGTTATTAAAATGTCTACAAACTTATGCTTTGAACAGCTGTTAATAACTTATTTCCTCGAAATAGGTTTTTCATAATTAACAGATTGGCGATCCATATCATCAGTTGAAATGCTGTTAAAATCGGTTGTATTTTTCAGCCTGTAGATTAAAATGCCCCCTTGACCAAATTGATTGCTTTTGTTGGCACATCTGTTGCCCTAGATGAAAATAAAAACCCTGACTTGTATTGTTTTGATAGAAATGTTTATATATTTAAAGCTTACCTTGAGCCTGAAGATGAAAGACTCCTGGATGAGGACTCCACTTCATTTGGAGATCAGAAAAGGTAAGACCAGTCCTCGAAATTATAAAACATTTTTCTAAGTTGTGTCTCAAAGCTCAGGGATTTCATTGGTCAGTGTACATTCTGTGACAGTTTCTGACCAATCAAATACCTGAGATCTGAGTTTGAGCTTAAAGAATTTCTTTTCAGACCCTGGATTTATCAGTGTTTTTTTCCACATCTTTTTTGAAACATGTCTTTTTACTTACCAGTTGAAAAAATTTTCAGTTGGGAAATTTGTTAAATTGACAAAAATAAATGAGTGTCAACAGCAGCCATATTGGGAATTTTGAGTAATCATTGATAACATTCTTAGAAAAAAAGGAATCTTCGTCAATTGGGAATGGGGCTTAACCTGTTTAATGAAAATAAAAATAAAGGAAAGCACTTTTTCTTATAATGTCTGTGTTAGGTACATGTATGTGGGACAATCACTGTTAACTGTGTTTTATTTCTATGCCTTTGTTTTAAAGTTTATTTGTTCTGCTGATTTGATTCCTTTCTTTTTTGTTGGAAAAAGTATGCAAAGAGCATTTTGTAAAATTATCATTATTGATGGGTAATATTTCTTTGCCCCATATCGGTATAACCTAAATACATGTGTGGTGAGTCATGTTCTTTAGAGACTTCTAACCCAATCATAGTAATATAAAAATATCTGATTGAACTCTATGGCTGGAACCTAGATCACTATAGTTATGATGGTAAACTGAATATAAATAATGACTGTTTATTTTCCTTTATCAGATCTAGACATAATAAAATGAATGTATCATGGTTGAGGAAAACCGAGTACATTTCTACAGAGTACAACAGATTTACACAGAAAGCAGACAAATCAGAAACCAAGTTAGTATTTCATAAGCATCTTAAAATTTTTATAAAAGCAAATTAAGAACTTGATTTACAGGGCCTTTTTTCACAGGCTGAGGAAGCTTCCCCTTTTTTTGGGGAAAAATAATATGGTTTTTTTTAAAGGGGGGAGAAAAAAATTTGTCAATTCAATTCAATTTTTGGAAAAAACTGCATAATTTTAAAGAATTTGTTTTTGGGGAAGCTGCCCTTAAATGGCCCTTGCTATAGAAGGAAAAAAGCCCTGACAGTGACTTAAGAATTATGTTGTTCATGGAAATTTATATTTCTATTGTTTTTGTCTTAAATCCTTAATACAAGAAGTGATAGTCATTAAAACAAAACAAGTACTCGATTTGCAGTGACCAAATGTACAGATCCCAGCCTGTCTGTTCCAGGAATTTTCAAAAATAGTATTTAATGTTAAATACATTTAAAATATGGTGATCACAGAAGCTTTACCAGTCCATTTATGGAAGAAAATTCCCTCCTCAAATTTTTCTTTTTTCTTTAATGAAGTTTACTGTTTAAAGAGATAACTCTTGACAAGATATAGCTGAGACATTGTAAGATTTTATTTTCTTTGCATTTAAGCATAAAATAAATTTTATTTTGGATATTGTATTGTCACTAATTGGAGTATATTTACAGGGTTGGGTACAATATAAAGAAAGGTATCACAGAAGATTTTTTCTACAAAGATAAAGACAGTCAGATTGCAGCTATAGAGAAAACATTCGATAAAACAAAAGAACCAGTAAGTAACATGCATAGTGATATTCTTTTAATGGTATTGTCTGAATTATTTATACATTTGAATGTTAAAGCTGCATGACACCAGATGAGCGGAAATATAATTCAAGAAAATCAAACTTGAGAAAAATGTACTAATAATTTAAGAAAGGTAAAAAGATTCAAGTAATAATTTACAAGTTATAAGCTATGAATAACTGGATTGTAAGTGCTGTTTGCAATGTGTAAATTACTTCCTTTGTTTACTTCACAAAATTTTACTTTTAAACACATCTTGAAAATTGGCATGAAAACTGGCATGAATCTGGAAGCATGCTGCTTTAATGGCAATTCTGACTTTCTTGTGACACCAGTATACACATTCATGCAGTTAGCCAGACTCTATATTGTTAGCTACTTCATTTGAATATCAATATGCACCTGGAAATGGTGTACGGACATAATCCCCTTCGGACAAAATCCCCTTCATGTATTTTTGCATATCTGGACATAATCCCCTCCATGGGTGGACATAATCCCCTTCATGTGTGAAATTTTGAAGTGGACAAAACCCCCTTCATAAAATTGCTACCTAGGACAAAATCCCTCTCGGTGAAATTTTCGGTTTATTAAGTAGGTATGAGAGCTTAATGTATAAAAAAGTAGAAAATATTTCAGCAGAAAAGCACATTCAATTAGCACATTTTAATCACATTAAAATAACTTAAAATTGCTTTGTTAAAGCATTCATAACAATCAATTAAGTAGTGCAGTGATCTTGGTTTGATTAAATTATCACATTTTCATCAATAGAAATTGTTACAATTGATAGTATATATCAATTAGAATTATCAACTTATACAATCAATGAAACAATTATTGGCTAATAAAAATGTTTTTCATACTAATCAATTTAAAACAATTAAAGAAATTGCCTAATCAAATATGTGTTATGCAGTTGATAATTAACCATAATTTTAATGAAAACTTCTAAACTAAATAACTATTGATACATAATTTTAAATAAAAAAACAAAAGTTCATTATTCATCAATTTTTAGGGAGTATAATTATAATTATTCATCAATTTTTAGCTCGACTTTTCTATGAAAAGGGGAGCTATCCTACTCGCCCCGGCGTCGGCGTTAGCGTTAGCGTTGGCGTCACACCTTGGTTAAGTTTTTCGTACCACCCCACTTTATTTCAGAAGTATTACAAGTATGGCTTTGAAACTTACCATACTTGTTCACCATCATAACCTCCATCTACAGACAAGAGTACATAACTCTGTCAAGGTTTTTGACAGAATTATGGCCCTTTTTTGACTTAGAAAGTGTATTGAGCTTGGTTAAGTTTTTTGTACCACCTCACTTTATTTCAAAACCATTGGAGGTATTGCTTTGAAATTGACCATACTTGTTTACCATCACGACCTTCATCAACAGACAAGAGGACATAACTCTGTCAAGGTTTTTGACAGAATTATGCCCCTTTTTGACTTAGAAAATACATTGAATATGGGTAAAATCCACTTATTGCCTTAACCCTTTGAGATATTGCTTTGAAACTTTTAATGCTATTTCACATCATTACCCCCATCTGTACGCAAGAGAAGGTAACTCTGTCAAGGATTTGTTTTAAAAATTAAGGCCTTTTATCGACTTAGAATCTTGGTTAAGTTTTTAGTACCAGTCCACTTTTTGACTGAACTGTTTGAGATATTAATTTGAAAGTTGGAATACTTGTTTACAATCATGATTCCCAAACATGTCCAGGAGAAGGTAATTCTGTCAAAGATTTTATTTGAATTATGGCCCTTAACTGTCAATGTTTTGTATTATAGGCAAGCACTAAAAAACTTAAAAAATCTAAAAAAATTCATTCCTATCCACTTGTTCACTTTACCATAAATTATGTCATATAAACATTGCTGTAATATTCAAGGGTATCAAACAACTAGTTATTTTTCTCTTTTTGTACTTGAAATTAAAATCAGTAGTATATGCATATTTCACATTTTATCTCGCCTATTACTGCAAAAACTTTTTTTATTGGCAAGCAATAAAAAAGTCGAGCGCGCTGTCTTACGGACAGCTCTTGTTATGGAGCATAATAATACATTAGAAACCTATGAAACAAGGGGATTTTGTCCGGGTAGTGAAGGGGATTTTGTCCAGCCTTGCAAAAACATGAAGGGGATTATGTCCACCCATGAAGGGGATTTTGTCCGGGTAGGCGAAGGCGATTTTGTCCGAAGGGGATTATGTCTGACATTCCCTGGAAATAAGTTAAGCAGACCGTGGAAATTTTAAATTGGTTGTGATTGAAAGCACTGTCATGAGATGACGACTTAAATTGAGCAAAAAAAATAGTAATTTGATAAATAGCTATAACCAACTTAGTAATCATGAACAAGTAAATTTATGAGTTTAGTTTATGCTTATCCAAATTATTGAAGCATGAGCAAATATGTTGTTTTTTACAAAAGATATAAGTGGCTTCAACCCTTCTCCTCACACCTGGCATTTTGCCTCAATTTTGACATGACCACAACTGTAATTTTCAATTTTATTTGGGCAATGGTACGAACCACCTGTAGTCAACTTGCAACAACTTGAACAAGCTCTGCACCAAGAATTGCAAAATTTACCTCAAAATTGCATTAGACGCCTTACTGGTAGTATGAGGAGAAGGGTTGAGGCTTTCATCCAGGCACGTGGCTGTTACACATGTTTTTAAAAATTTGGTTACATAATGTCATTTTTGTTCACGTAATCGTCAACATTTACCAAAAATATCCACCAGTAAATGTTTTGTAAACACTCCAACATCAAACTTATAACACTTGAAATGATTGAAAAGAAATGTCCCTTTTCATGTGAATAATTTTTATCTTTTATACAGATCACAAAACATTACAGCAAGCCAGGTGTGGAACCTGTAGAGGTGCTGCCATTTTATCCTGACTTTGAGGTATGTAGTTTAGATAAGACAGCATGTAAAAAACATTCTCGTTTTCTGCCTTAGAAATCATGGTTTAACAGTGTACCTAAAAAAAGGGAGGTAATGCAGTTGGTTAGCATTGAAAATATATGAATGTTGAAAGATGAATATTGCATTTATCAACAACAAGAAAGCATTGCGAATAAATACCGGTACTGCGCTGTTTATAAAATAAAATAAATATGTATTTATTTTAAAGGGCAGGATGGTTAATGTTGCTAACATTAGATCTCTTGTCTCTCAATATTGAGGGTTGCAGGGAATAGGAATTCTTTGATAGGGCGAAGCAGCCAATTAGCTAAAGATTGGTTGTTGATACTTCTACTTGTTGATGTCCACTTGTGGCTGAAATATAATGAGTTTTTTTTCTCTTCACCAATAAAACATAAACTTGCAAAACAACATGTACAATTTTGGTGTGACTTTAAGCTCTACCAATCATAGTTAATGCAGCTGTTGTGTTAAAATATGAAAGTTTGTTTATTTACAGTTATGGAAACATCCATTTGCCCAAGTAATATTTGATTCAGACCCAGCACCTAAAGGAAGGTCTGGTCCTGCACTTATGGAGGAAATGTCTCAAGCTATGATCAGGTTTGTTTAGTTAATATATTGTGATGTAATTTAACCTGTAGAGGACTAAATTGTGTCTAATATTATACATTATGAAAACGAAATCGTCACTTAAGTGCAGTAACGGAATAAGTCCATCTAAATTAAAAAGGAGTTGATCAGTTATTGCACTAAGGTGACACAATATGATTAAATGAATATTTGGATTCTCATAATTTAAGAAAAGAGTAATTTAATGTTTTTTATTAGTCAGATATATACTGAGAGGTATTCATGATGTAAGAACTATTTATAGGATGTAAATAAGTTGATAACTAGTTTAGTACCTAATAAGAGTATTTTAGATTTGATCTATGAAAGAAAATTTTATGGACAAGTTGAGAAGTTATCTGCCCTTAGATTGCTTATCTATCAGGACTTTTGGCTAGAAAACTGCAAGGATTGTTGAATTCTTACTTGTCCCGCAAATGATCTAATAAGTTTACTGTAAGATTGTAGTTCTAACCAAGTGCTTTTATTTACTATTGCTTGAAATAATACTATATAAGTTGGTATTTCCACGTGTTTAAAAGTTTGTGAATTTGAAATTCCAGACATTTTGCATAGAATTAAATTACAGGTTGATTGATATTTACACTAATGGAAATTTAAGCAATTTTTCGTCAATTCGCTAGCTTAACCGCTTACACAGTATGTAAAGGGGGGATGTGGTTGAAGTTGTCTCCCTTCACCATTAAAGCTAACAAATTGCCAGGTGTTTTTGTTATCTAGCCTAAATAGAGATTGATATAAGATTGTTATAGCATTTGTGATTCTTGACAAAATTTTTAACATATTAAAACAGAGGAGCTGTAGATGAGAGTGGTGAGCATTTTGTGGCCTACTTCTTGCCAACTGGAGAAACACTGTCTAAGAGAAAGAGGGACGAGGAGGAACAAGAAGATTTTGTTGAAGATGAAGAGTAAGTTTATTATGACATGTTATGTTTTTATTTTGTATGTTAAAGGTCATAGTGTCTTAAAGCTGATACAGTTACAGTATGGTACAGTCTTTGCAAAAATTACAGTATAAGACAGGTTAGTTTTAAGACCCATAATAACTCTACCTTGGATTTAATAGAATTTCACCTGATTTTTATTTTTTTTGAAAAATGATCAAATTTAATTTCGTCCATGGTTCCAGGCTTGTATTTTTGAAAAAAATATTAGCTATAAGATATAAGCTATATATCTGATGCCTGTACTTTACAATTTATTTGTTATTTTTAAGAAAGAGTAACTTCAAAATACCAGTATAAAAAATGTGTCTTAATTTTTCTTTAAGAGTGTATGGCATATGCACAAAATAAAAATAAAAAAAAAATTTTTTCTTAAAATAGCAGCATGATATTTTGTTCCAGAACATCTTATTCTGTTTATGTACATATTTCATGTGAAGTTATATTTGATGAAATATTTTATAAAAATTTAAACACAGCAAAATTATGTTGTTTTCATAACTTTTATGGTTGTTTCTTAAAAGGTTTTATCATTGAATGTCTATCTAAGGTATTATAAGTAAGTATTGTGCTTAAACAGAATAAAATGTTTCAGAACAAAATATTCCCAAGCTTATCTTAGTAGGTTTGACTCCGATTTCATGCACACCTCACCACATGCTTTAAATAAAATGTACTTACATGTCTTTTATTGTAGGTATTCTGTAATCATTTTAATCACAATATAAGTAATAATTTTACAATCAGTTAACAGAACATATGTAGCTTTATACACTTTAAATAACATAGACATTCTATGTTACAAGTCTTTCGAGAATGTACCATAACATTATAGAAATAACACTATTTAACCATTTATAATTAAAAAAAATATATATATAAAGATTTTCATCTTTTACACACAATTTTGTTTCTATTTTTTTATAGGTATGATTACACATTAGCCAGGGAGTATAACTGGAATGTCAAGAATAAATTGTCCAGAGGATATGAGGAGACCTACTTTATGGTGTTTAGAGAGGACGGGTGTTTCTACAACGATCTTGAAACAAGGTGATTATTGATTATTTGATTACTTTAAAAGCACTCCTCTCAGGTTTTTTAACATGACAGGACAGGAAATAATTTTTCGAGATTAACGTTCATTCGCTCACTCCGTTTTTCCAGAATAATTATTTTTAATTGAAAAGTGTTGCAAGGCTCAGTTATATATACAGTCAACCCTTTACGTAGGTGCATATAACCTATCAAAAATCTTTATAACTAGTAATATAAACATCATAATTATCCAGTAAATAGAAACATTACAAACATGCAGTATTATAAAATATGGTTAATTTAATTTTGACTTGATATACACATAATTATCTATGTTGTGCAATAATAATGATTATTTTCATTATTTGATGATTTTTTCACTGTTAAAATGGTTTGATATTGTAGGGTACGGCTAAGTAAGAGAAGAAAAACAGCTGGATCTACTGTAGCAAAGTCTAGACTGTGTGTTAAACATAGAACTCTCAATGAGAAGGAGTTACGTGCACAGGTATGTTCAATGGATCTGTTGTGAATGCTTTAAGATAAATTTAACAGGATTTAACAGCAACAGTGGTTCTGTTCATGATTAATGGACCTTAAGTTATAATTACTAATATTTCAATTTATCCAGTAAAGTTTCCCTTTATATTTATAGACTTTAAAGGGTTATAAATATATATCCCAAGTTTCCCGTAAGTAATTTTTATGATTTGCCATTACTTAATATTCAAGTATCCCTAAAATCCATTTTCATTTATGGGCCTTAGGTTTAATTACTAATAAATTTAAGTTCCAGTAAAGTCCATTTATCATTTATAGACCTTAGGTTATAACTACTAATATCCCAAGTTATCCAGTAAAGTCAATTTATGATTTATGGACCTTAGGTTATAATTACTAATATTCCAAGTTATCCAGTAAAGTCAATTTATCGTTATTCCCTATCATTACCATTATATTGTATACCCAATTTTTTTGAAGATATGTAATGAAATGAATGTAACTTTTGCCATGTAAATATTGGATTGGTTACCTGGAATTCTATATTATCTGTAGGATCTACGCATGATGATGCTGGAACCAGCTCAGGACGAGGAGGAAGAAGAAGAAGAAGAGGAAGAATTCTTACAAAATGCAAATAATAGTAAGTGCTCTAGTTTAATTGGTTATAACACTTTTTCTTTATACTGGTTACAAAATCATCAGAAATTGTATCAGCAATCATAGAAAAGTAACAAAAAAATAAATAATTTTTTATTTTATTTGAAAATACGTTCTTTCTTGTGATTTTATTCTTATTGCTAAATAATCTGAACTAATCCTTGCAAGGAAGTCACCATGGCCCAAGTGGTGACAGTCACTGATCATTTATCACTAATAATTGTGGTTTAAAATCCCTTGTGTTTTTCAACTGAAGGAGCTATTCAGCTTAATTAGCTTAAGGAATTTGGTAGATCCACTTAGTGCCTACATGTGTCTGAACTAGTGCAAGCAGAGCCACCTGAGCTTCTCCAGCAAAAGTGATGAAAAGTTGCCTGTTAAGTTGATAACATTACACATGTTCGATTTATTTATTACAGATGAGGAGTTCATGAGTCCAAAGAGTGATGATGAAGGACGTAGATCGAGGTCAAGGTCAAGATCTAGTTCCAGGTCAAGGTCAGGTTCAAGAGGAAGAAGTGGATCTAGAAGTCGTAGCAGGAGTGGAAGTAGAAGTAAATCACGAAGTAGAAGCAGAAGTAGAAGTCGCAGCAGAAGTGGCAGTAGGAGCAAAAGTAGGTCAAGGTCAAGATCAATGTCAAGAAGCAGAAGTCGTAGCAGAAGTGGAAGTCGTAGTGGAAGTGGTAGAAGTCGTAGTAGGAGTCGTAGTGGGAGTAGAAGTCCATCAAAATCAAGGTCACGAAGCAGAAGTGGAAGTAGAGGAAGGTCAGCAAGTAGGTCAAAATCAAGGTCAAGGTCTAGAAGTGCTAGCAGAAGTGGAAGTGAGAGTGAAGCAGAAGACAGAGGAAAGAAAGATGAAGAAGAGATCTTTGGCTCTGCTAGTGATTCAGATAGTGACTGAAGTGAATGAAGTAACTATGGTTACTGGGCTGTGCAAAAAGTTTTGGAATACTTTAAAATATCATGAATGACTGAGATGTTGATTCTCATGCCTCCTAATGACTGCAGAAAATGTTAACTTTGCAGAAACATTCAATTTTAGAACTCCTGAAAATGAAGTCAGAAAGATTGCACTTCTCTATGCTGTTTGAATTTCTCTGATTGGATATTTTAAAATCTTGATTCCAAAGTGATGTTGTACATTATACTTGTATCTATATATTTGTTTGGATGAAGTACCAATAAGTTACCTGTACTTTCAATATAAATTCTGAAAGACATACTGACAAATAAAAGATGTTGATATTAGATTAAGTTGCATTTTATTTACAAATATACGTGTATAAGTAAATGATTAAATACGAATGTGTTTCATTTGTCATTTCAATAGTATGGATATACCTATACTTTCATAAAGAATACTTTATTGATTTGAAAACTAATCAAGTCTTAAACTCATTTGCAACAATAAAATTGAAATATGTTGAACTTTTAAAGAACTTGTATTTTTTTATATTTTGATGCTGAATAATCTCACCAATTCAGAAATAAACAATTAAATTGATGTTTTTTTGTTTTTGTTTTACTTGGATAAGACGTTCAATAAATATATTACTTTTAACCTACTTGAACCTTTACTACCAATGTAGACCCAGACCAGCCAGCATGGATATATCAATGCATTTAGACCAGTCTGTATACTGTTTGTAGCTCAATTTTTGTATATTGATATTGAACTCCCTTAAACATTGAATAGACTGTTTCAAAGTCAAAGCTTAGCAAATCGGTCTACGAATTCAGCAGGTAAAGGGTGATTCCAAAATATCGGAGGTGGCACAAAGAAGATCCTGAAATTGGCGTTCATCTCTAGTAAGAATCGGTGTACGAAAAATGCTGCGTGTGATCAAGTCATAACTTCAGTATCATTTAAAGGGAAATTGTCGAATAAACTTGTCTAAATGTTCATTCGGATTGGGCAGCAAGTCATTCGCAATGTCCGTAACACTGAGGCGCAGTGACTTTTCAGCAATATTTTTAGTGTCTTAGCAACGCTAGTATGGATTATAAATGTAGTCGTTTTCTTTGAAACTATTATTTCAGAGCTTGATATAACTGTTCTTGTTAGCAAAGTTAATCGCTGCTGGTCGCACTAGATGATCTAAGAATAATGTATCCAATGCAATTCTGTGCAGTGATAAATGTGTAATATGAATATTTTTGATTCAGTTTATGATGTCGATCAATTAAAATGGTCTCTTAAGTTGAGAATTTCCATTCAGGACTAGAAAAAACTAAGTGTGTAGACCTGTAGTGTTTGGTGCCATTCTACATAATTCACGTTTTTCCACGAAGCTTGAATAACTGAATTTAACTTTCCTAGTGACAGGATGTTCCAACCTTACACTTGGGGGAAAAAAGCTTTAAAACATAAAACATTTAGATATTATATCAAGCGTGTAGAGCATAAACTATATCCGTTTTGGCAAATGTTTTGTTTGAAATTTAATTTGAATAAATAGTGAAAAACAAATTTGTGCCTTTCGGTATCAAATTGTTTAGTAAAGATTAATATGTGGTGGCACCAGGAGGTCTGCCGTTTAAGACTCTGACTTCAGCAGTGTAATAGGAAAGTATACTACAGTTAATACGTTTTATAGAGATAGGAAATATAATGGCAGTATTTTTATGCTTTATTAGAGTGAAAATAACCATGTTTCTGCGAAAATCTATACACATGACGTACCTTAGCAATAAACACTCATATTTTTGTACATATCATATAATTTTAAGTTTAACTTAGTTCTTTTATGATGAAACATGTATTGACGTCATTACCATGGGTGCAAGTTTTCAGGCAAATTTCATCATGTTTTACTGTAAGATTATGTAAGAAAATGATTATGGATTACAGTTTTCAGGTTTTTTTTTCTCCAAATTTTCAACTTGCACACATACATTACGATTGATGGGGAAATTTTATGATAGCTACATTCAATTATACATAATGTATTCGATAAATATGGAATTCATAAGTATTTGATAAAATCGAATAACATACTGGTAAATAACTTTATGACATGCTAAGACCTAATATATGTTAGCCAATGCAATATTTTTGCTCTCTTCTTGTTGTTTTTCGCCAGCTCAGTTTTAAAAGAAATGACATTTTTGTTCCACCTTCAACAATAACAACACTATACTTGAAGTTGCTCTGTATTGAAGACCGATGATACGCTCTTGCAAATTATGTATTGATTCAAATATACTTATACTTTAAACTTACTTAATGCATCATTTATAAAGCGCTGATTTGTAAATCATTTCGCTGCAACATTACTTTTGACTTCTCTATATATTATATATGGTCTGTTGGTTACATTGAAGCCCATAACTGTTTTATATCCAAACGACATCAAACAAAGTTCCAAATTTTTAATGTCACGAACACGATTTTTTAATTAATGAATTTGCTCCATCCACTCTGACTTTAGTGATTCGCATTCTCCCTGTCCCGCATTTTCCCCCTTATATTTTGTTTGTCTATCCGGTGGCCTGCTGAGTTCCCGGTAGTCATTTGTAATTTATAGTCATATTTATATTATTCACGGGATGTACGTTCTAGCTGTAGTTGTTTACTGTTTTTCTTTTGTTTGCTGCTAAACAATCATAAATCATAACATAATTCACGTACTATAATAGAATTCTTGATTTATTAGTTTATTTTCGTATCAAAGTAAAGAAATGCTATCATGTGCGTTCTTTATTAGTTCATCTTTGCATCACTGGTTTTGCATTCGCGAAATATAGGCGATCATTATTATTTTCCGAATTTGAAAGTTCCCCAAATATCATTGTACAGAAAATGTATATATTCCGAATCAACTACATTGTAATTTTATAGTGAAATTATATTAGTAGAATATGAGTTCCTACGACGGGTGAATGCGTTTGAAGGGGAATCATTCATGTTTTAAGATTTTTTTACTAAAGGATATTGGAACTATAATATGTCGAATATACGAATTATGAAATTTTTGGAAAAAGGGAGATACGTCGGAAGAAACGAAAAAACACACACACACACACAAAAAAACCCCCCAAAAAACCCCATGAAAATTGCACACTGGATTTGATCTAGTCTTGTTAATGGGAGACAATGGAAAAGTACAACATCCTTCCCATCCCCTAGTACCACACGACTTAAGTTGTTGATAAAACTACTTTTTAACATCATTTTATTGTTTTTTCTCTCTTTAACGGTTAAGTTAATACAATTTATATTTGACAGATCACTTTCATATACATGTATGTATATGGGTATATTCAACCATTTCAAGTGGATATAAAGTCGTTGAGTTCATCAACTTTACTATTAAAACAAAAGCCACGTGATGTGTATTGAATGGAGAAAAAACGTTCTACGGAACTGTAGAACAATGCAATGTAATCAAGATTGATCGAAATGTTATTAACATATTATTGAAAAATGTAAGACTATATATAAAATAGAAAGTAATATGTTGTTATATTAAGACATTATGAATTCTTGAGAAATCAAATCTAGTTTATTGAAATGTTTTAAAAGACAATAGTTTCTGGTTTGACTTACTTCCTTAATTGTTAGTAGACCTTGATGAGTTTTACAAAACAAAAGCCAAATATGTTTACGTAGATAGTTGGTGTGTCCCTGCTTGTGCAAGCTAAAATTGGAAAAATTATTCACCTTTTCTTGGACTTATCTTCCTATTTCTCTCTACATTACCTTTAATCTTATTCTCTCTTTGTCATTGTCAGGAAAACAACTAGAACATTATATTGCAAAGTCTTATAAGATAGAAACACATGAAATGATTAATTTGTATAGACTGATCTTAAGATCCCCTAAAATATAGATATAAATGTTTGGTATGAAATAAAGAAATAATTATTGAATAAAGAACAACTACTTAAAATTTAGTACACAATTTTTAAGCTTTCTGACAACTACATTTGACTCTAAAGATAATGCATGCAATAACACTTAATTATGTTGGTGCAATAGAACATACGGAATATGAGTAATGTAAATAAAAAGAAATTTGAAATTGTATGTAACATTACTTTTTGTGTTAAAATAGAGTAACTAATATTCAGTAAATATTAGTTTCCATGGGCTATTTTCGATTTTAATGGTGAATAAACTGGTCTGCTCTTTTTCCTCTTTCCGTGACAATTACTGACGACTTTCAATATTGCATCTTCATTTACTGACAATTATAACCATTGTTTTTAGCTGTGTCAAATTTCTTTGGAGAAGATCAATCGGTAATCCCAATATTTTGTTTTATTTCAATTACCATATTTGGATTTCTAATTTTACATATCGCAACATGCGTCCCAAAGGAGACGGGATTTAGCAAACATACCATTATCAGTTTTTCTTCTTTGCCAAATTTTCTCTGGAATTATTTATATAACTTGTTGTATGAATACAACATTTCTTGTTATCTCAAAATTTCTGAAATATTATTCGCAAATGTCTGTTTATCTAAATAAATGTCAATTTGCAGATATTTTAGTTTGTATATTACTATCGCATTATATTTGTAATTAAATTTTTATGAGAAGCAGGCGTCAGTTTTAACAGAAAACAGAAATTTATTTATTTGCTAAAGTGAGAAAAAATTCTCTTGTGCTTACATTCATCAGTGAACTAAAGATCAAGTAATATTTAAATAATTAAAGAAGACAGTTTGATTCTCATACATTTCATTTGTACTTTATATGCATAGTAAATTTTCTTTAATACCAGTAGACTTCCAAAGTGCGGATTCAAATAGAATGCCATGCTAGTTTTATACAACTTGTTTTTGTTTTTTCTTTCAAACAAAGTGACAGAGAAAAGGTCAACGTGATGTTCAGTGTGTGTATGGCGCACGCTCGTGTGTGCGCGCGTGTGTGTGTGAATGTATAGATGTCATTACTAGGCAGACACATGTCTCTTTTACCGTGTAATTCAGTGTTTGGAAGTTAAACTTTTGGCGGCACACATACCATAATTAATTTGGAAACACATTTCATATCAAATAAACTATTGATATTTTTGAAAACATGTTGAATATAACACACATTTGCTGATTCTTTATTTCTTTTTACAGTTTGAAATACTCGAGAATGTGTTTTTAAAAACTCTCAAATATACTCCTTGCAAACGAAACAAAATTATCTATCTTTTTATTACACTGCTGTCATTGCTACAAAGTAAATGCTTCTTTTGGAATTATCTGTAGATATTAAGTTCACACATCAAAGCTAGTGTCTTCAGTCACATATTATTTGGAATTATATCAAATTGAAAGAATAAAATTTGTTGGATTATGTATCGTTCTGTTTTCGTGAAATTGTTAACGTGCAGTAACTAAAGATCCTGTAACCCAATGTTTTATGGTTTTATAGTATACATATAATGCTCAAATGAAGATTTATCTATATTGTAAGTTCCAAAAAGCATTATTACCATTATATTATTTTATTATACATTAAAGATATTACCGAATTTACATTTTATGTTAATAAAAAGAAGTA